TCGTCACTAATGGGGAGTAAGAGATGACTGTACAAGTTAAACTTCTTTATTGATACTCAGTACATAAGTATACATTTTAACAGTCCAAGTCCAAAGAGGACACCTGCTGGATGATTTGATGTACTACAGATAATCAGAGATTGTTCCTATATGGTGAAGTTTCACTTCTAGTTTAAAGTTTATAGCAGCAAGGTCTACAAATGTTAATGCAAAATAAAATCTATTCTGTCTTTAAACTAAGCCCAAAATAAGATAACTCCATTTTAGAACAAACCAAGACCAACAAGGTCATGGCTGTTTCCAGGAGGCCCAACACTGATGTTTGTAGTATTAACAACCCAACTTTCCTCTTTTTAGAGGAACATATTTTATTTAATTCTTTTGTGAAATAGGCTACAACAGACAAAATAATACATACGACATTTTTTCTATCCAGTATCAAGAATTACATGAAGCTGAAGATGTTTTACAAAAACATCATAATATTTTAGTTCAAATATCCTGAAATAAAATATTTGTGTGTGAAATTAATACTTATCATTTTACTCCATGTTTGGAGTCATATTACTGACATGTAACTATAATATTAATATATTATATTCAAAGCAGAGAATATTGAGATTACAGAATGAAACAGATTGAGGGGACAGGTATAGCTCACCTTTCTACTGCTGGTTTAAAATCAATACCCTTGTCCATTGAAAACCTGCTCTCATTAGACACACAGCTGGATTCTGGGCCTGGTTGTTTCCTAAGAAAGAAGGTATTTAGTTGATGTGCTGAGATCTGACATTAAAGAAGAGTCCAGGGGTTTCATGTATAAACACGTGTAACTTTCATACCGAGAGGTTGCAAGATTTACTGCTAAATGTTACAAAACTGCATCTAACTGAGGTTTTCCCATGATTTTCTAAAGTTTGTTAAATTATTTTCTGATGGTAAATGTGGTTCAGTTTCATCATTTACATAAGAGATTAAAATCATATAAACATCTGGAGTAGGTAACAATGAATGGAGTCAGATTCCAGTGTATTTAGTTTTGATGCTCTGTAGTTGCTAAGTAATAAAAAACTGTGCATTACAGCACACTTTCATTTTTGTACTAGCCGAGTTATGTGTGTGGTGCAGATTTTATGTGCAAGCTCAGCGTTTCTACATGAGGCCCCTGGACAGTTAGAGGCGGTGATGTCACCTCTGAACTTTGCTCTGCTCTCCATCCTGATGAGTTTTAGAAGGAGCAACTTTGTCCTTTTTGTCTTCTCTGTCCTCACCCTGGTCCATGCTGCTCTGTGTAGATCAGCTCACTTCTACCTTCAACTGAGCAGGAAACACAGATGTTTTTCATGGAGGACACAAAGAAGCCCTAAAGCTGAGTTTTCAAAGTAAAATCACAGACACCCTCTTATCTGAGCCATACCAACTGCTCACAAATGCATCACAGGGAATAATAAATTACCTGCAGCACTTGAACACAATCAAACAGAAACAATAGTCATTTATAGATCAGAGATAATAAAATTGTAATATTTTTAACATCTCCTAGAGATATTAAAATTTGATATCTCTAGGAGGAAACTAGGAGATCCTCAGTGTTTCTACAGTAAGTTACATAAACTGACTGTTTGTGTTTCACTTGAATGAGATCTGACCTGCTCAGCAGCTCTTCATTTACTAAGCAGCTCTGAAAACACGGAGGGACTTTCTGCAAATCAACACCTCATGTAACCTGAACACAGCTTCGGGAAATTTCTTTATCTTTATGACAGTTGAGCTCTGGTGAAACCTGAAGATGTCAAACTAGCAAAAATCCCATAAGGAAGAATTTTAAAAAAAATTATTAAGAAAGAGAAATTAGAAGCAGAAAAAAAATCATAAACTGTTATTTAATCATGATGTAAGACTTCATGATGCTTTAGGAATCAGTCCCAACCATCATCTAATTTACAAAAATTAAATCACAGGAGAGTCAATATGAGCTTCTGTAAAGAATTCTGCTCTCTTTTGTTTTTAAGGAAATAAACTTGGATTATGAACCTACTTCATGTTTCTGTTTAACCCAAACCAAAAAATAAAAAGAGACCAAATTCAAGTCATAGAACCAGTAAAGCTTTACGCATTTGCAAAGAATGGGTTGAGGCTGGAACTATTTTAGGATATTATATATATATATATATATATATATCACATTGTTCATGATATTTTGGTCATTGTTCATCCTGTGCAGCGTTGCTAATAAAGTTCTGATGTAAAAAAAAAAAGTGACGCAGTTTCTTTGTCATCTCCAACCCTTTAAAAACGCCCTTGAATGTGTTTCACTTATCAAACCCCAAACCCCCTGAATCCACTAACCAATCAGCTGAGCCCACATGAGTCCGACTATGAATATCCAGAATCAGAACCAAACTTTTCTCCGAGCTCAGAGATTCCGGGTCTGTCTAAAATTACACTGCGCCTGTAGTGGGAGATTTACGGCACAGTTCCAGGTGATGATTCTTTCAACTCTTTCACATCTTCTGCTCTGTAAGAATCAGACTTCAAGAATGCATTGTATGTTTATGCATCATTTATTGTTGCTGTTTTATCAAACCATAACTAATAGAGCAGGTCTTCTTTCCTGAGACAGTGTATATTTACAGAACCCTGTTGGGAAATACAAGATCCACTCCTAGCATGTAATTTACACAAAATAATACTGAAAATGTGGGAAAACTTTAAGGAACTGTAAAAACGTAGTTTCTCATAAAGATACCACTTTAATAACATTCTTAAAATCTGAATAATGACCGCAGCTAACAGAGAAAATGTTTCATTTTCAGTTGAACTAGTGATGATTCAGAATTAAAATAAAGCTGCATAGGTGTACAATTTCGAATACCGTAAAACACAGTGTAGAAACGCAGTAAAGTCTCGGATTATCGTCTAGGCCCGACCGCACTTTCCTCTCTAATATCGCACAGAGCCGTGAAGTTTGTCTGGTTCTGTCTGAAGGTTCGGCTGAAAAGAACCTTCATACAGCAGATTCTACCGAATCAAAGAGGAAAAACAAAATCTTACCTGAACTTTCAGGAGATCTTTATGGGGAGGTTTTTTTCTACGTCATAAACTAAGGAAAGTGAAACTAGTTTTTCAGAGGAAGGAGGCGTTTAGTGGTCAGTATCACCTGGTTTCATATGGAGCCATGTCGCCTCTAATTTTACTAAATCTAAAGCATCTAATGAATAGTTTCCCTGTTCACAAAGTTTAAGGCAGCCAATTGTGCAACAAGCTGTTAACGTTTAATTTGTGTTGCTGTCAGAGAAATATAACAGATCGTTTTAATTTTTAATGCTTCTTTCAACTTATTGATCAGAATTGTGATACGTTTTAACAACTTTAAACGTGAAGAAAAGAGAATAAATTAGAAAATGTATTTCGTATGTGATGTAAGATTGACTGAATTTGTTAAAGCTAATAATTTAAATCAGAAATAAAAGTGCTACTTATATAAACATCTAACTTCTAACAGGGACCTTCAGATAAATATCATCTGAAATAAACCTCCAATAAGGGAACAATGAATTTCTGCTTTTATTTCCTGTTTTTCTGAAGAACCTCCTGGACCAATCAGCAGCAGAGCAGCATTGTTTGTTCTGGAACAAGGAGCGGTTCATCACGTGATTTCGAGGAAACCAAACTGCCCGTTTTACACGAACTTAATTCCTGCAGTTTGTGTTTTAACCACCAGATGGAGACAAATTGGATCCAATGAGGAGGAGTTCAAGGTTCCTTTAAGTCGTGATTTCACTGGGGGAAGTTTCATCTGAATCCTCATTTTCAGTCTGAGTTTTATGCCTCAGACCGGCTCAGTGTAGATGAGAACCTGTCAGTATTATAATCATGTAATTATAATTTTACATGTTAAGATTAAAATAACGTGGTTCTTTAAGGTCTTGTAATTCATTGTATTTTTCTAAAATATTTCCAGTTCAGTGAAGGTAAGAGTCACTTTATTTCTCATGAAGAGTGCTCATCAGGATTTACATCATAAGTGCATAATATTAAAAAATGCAAAGTCCAGAAAAAATATCAAAACAGACAAATATAAATGTTAGTTTAACATAAATTCAGTGAATCTGGACTCAATGTTACTTTTAGAACAGTGCTGTATATGCTCTCTTCTCATTGTTCTAGTTTTCTTATTATGATGTAAAATCTTTATTTAAAACCATTTATGAACTTTAAAACAATATTTAGAGAGAAGCATCAATCTCTGGAAAGGTTGTGGTCACATACTAACATCTCCAGGAGTCATTTCTAATCAAAGCTTTTCATAACAAATGCACAAAACAACAAAAAACTACCACACATCACAATAACTGGCAATATGTGGATAAGAATAATTGATAGATTCTTTCTGAATGTCAGTGTATGTAGCTGCGCATTTTAGTAGTAAGTTTCCTTCATATAATCATTTTTTGTGAAATAATGTTATAGAGGGAACATATCATTAAGCATCAGAGCTAAGATAAGCCAACAACTGGATTATTACTATATGTAATATATAGTTATATTGTCCACAAAGAAGTGGATCAGTTAATGAGCGTCAAGGCATCTCAAAGCATTATTCATGTTTTCTCGTTGTCTCTTTGGGAAATGGAGTTAAAGAAAATTAAATAACATTACAATAAAATCTATATTGAGTTTCTTCATTTTGGTTTTACATGAAAACAGGGATGTTATATAAAGGATCATTGTAGTAAAATATAAAAGTTCGTAACAGTTTCTAGAGTTTTTCTGGCAGAGCAGAAAGTAGAAATAAAATTACATTTTTGACAGAGTTACTGAGGAACCAGTCCAGCATGTAAATCCTGCATAGAGAGCTTCAGTGAATGTGTGATTGAAAGTGTGGAGGTGGATCAGGGAGCCAGAGGAGACTTTGTAGAAGGACAGAGTGCCAGCAGGACGGTCAAGATAAACTGCTACTTTGTTAGTGGAGGATGAAGAGGAGGGAAAAGAGGAAGGTGTCCCTATCTTATTATGCCAAGCAGAGTAACCATCACAATCAGAGCAGCTCAAACTCCAGGACTGGTTGTTAAATCCAAACATACAATCATCACCACCTCCCCTCCTTCTGATCCCCCTGTAACTCATGGCTATTCGAACATTTCTTTCCCACTCCACCTCCCAGTAACAGCGACCAGTCAGACCAGTAGCACACAGCAGGTGAGGACCATCAAATCTGTCTGGGTGGTCAGGATATGACTGAAGCTCCTCCACATGGGTCGCCTTCCTGTTGTCCTCAGACAGTTTGAGTTTTCTGCTCACTGTGTTTGCGTCGATGGCGAGTTGACAGGAATCTGATGGAGAGAACAAACACAATGCAGCTGCAGTTATTGATCATTTATTGACTGGTTGATGATGACCCCTGAGTGAGTGTTGTGACAGTTTGAAAGTGGTTCAATGTGAACTGATTTGTTGTCATAAAACCAATGAAAAACACTCTTACACTTCATCAGACCTTTCTTTAACCATTGGGCTCCTGCAGGCTCCAGGCTGAAAGAAGAAACGGGGATCTGATCATCAGTGTCTGCAAATATAAATCTGCAACCTGATACATGACTTCTGCTCAGAAAGAGTCAAAAGCATTTTATGTAAAAGGTTTAGATCATGGTGATAAGTTGTGGCTGTTGAAAGAATTACATGAAAATCTAGCAAAGAAGAAGATGTAATAATCCCAAAGATTGTTTCTTGAGTTTAAGTTTCAAATTCCTCACATAGGCGATTTGAACCTTTGATTTGGAAACGGGAACTGATCAAACCCTTGTTTGTCTCAATGGTGTGTATCAAAGAAAAGGGGATTACACTTGCCAGAAACATACTAGGGACTAGGATGTCATAAGTTTAGAGCCACCAAAGGAAGTTTTTAAAAATAAAAATTTTGTTTTCCAAACAGGAATGCAGTTTTGAGTTTTAGTTTTCTTCTATCTAGTTCATCTGAACTGTCAGCTCGAAGCAGCATTGTAAGTGATGGACAACCAAAGAACAATCAATCAGCATCTTGTCTTTGCCTTAGCTAAAATAACTAATATTAGAAATTAGAAATAATATACGTAAAGCTGTTTATTGTTGAGACTTTGTAGGTGCCTCATTACTCTATTTAAAGCTTTGATTAGATTTACTTCTGAAAATATTTCCAAACAGACATTTATGTAATGCTGAACATCTGTCACTGTGTTGTTTAGTCAAATTTAGGTTAATGTCTCAATCTACAACTTTAGAATATGTTCCCTTATTTAAAGGTGGTTTAAGATAGAAATAAAAGAAAATAAACTAGTCAATTGTCTCCCAGCACATAGTTGATTTTTTTGTCTCTAAAATGTGGATTAAGACATTAGAGGGGACATATTTTTTTCAGCAGTGGAGACAAACAATATTGATAAATGTGCAGAAAGACGATGTTTTACATTTGGTTAAAAAGATATTTAAGAACTAGAGCTGTATATTATTGTACATTACACTAGATGTAACAAGGCAAGCACAATACAAAAACATCAATATTACATGAATTAAATGAAATTTGATTTACACCCTGACTGAAGGTCAAACACTCTATAGAGTCACTTATATTGTTGGTCTGTGAAGAATAAACTACCATAATTTCCACGTTCCTTCAACTATAATGAAGCAAACAAATTCCTCGGCTTCCAGTCAGTGGTTAGTAAAGCTACATTTGTACTGAACCTAAAATACCAATCAAAACTACTAGTAATTTATTTGTAGTCATATCTCAAGTAAATCCACAAAATGTTTTAGTTTGGATGTTAAACCAATCTGGTGCTCAGCTTACCTGAGATGCTTCAGTCCACAGTGTGGATCCTCCTGTCTTTCTCTCAGTAGCTTCACTGCTTTCTCTCCTGGATTGTTGTAGCTCAAGTCCAGCTCTATCAGGTAGGAGGGGTTGGAGCTCAGAGCTGAAGCCAGAGAATCACAGCCCTCCTCTGTGATCAGACAGCCTGACAGCCTGCAGACACAGAACAACATGCTGGGCATCCAAACGGCATTATAAGGTGCAACTGTTTAAAACTAAATTAAGTTGTGTTGGACTTTATTCTTATTAGTGGACTAATCAAGCTGCATCTCCCAGCATTAGTAAAAAGATGCCATTGTTTTCTGTCATCACAAAATTTAGAACGTTCCAACACCAACATAAAATATAATTTTTGTAAGTAATGTTGTCACCATTATCAAATACAGTTGCCCAATGTAAGTGTGTATCCTAACCTTAATGTTTCCAGTTTACAGTGTGGACTCTTCAGCCCATCAGACAGAAGCTTCACTCCTGAGTCCTGCAGGTCATTGTTGCTGAGGTCAAGCTCTCTGAGGCTGGAGGACTGGGAGCTGAGGACTGAAGCCAAACTCTCACAGCTTTTCTCAGTCAGGTTACAGATGCTAAGCCTACAGAAACAATAAAAAAACATCAAAATTGGCAGAAAGGACATTTTCTGACCTAGAAACAATAAAATAAATTATGTTCTGTAAAATATACATGACTGGTGGTAGTTATAATATTTCTCAACTGGCTAAACAATGTGTAGGCCAGAATAACAGCTTGAGAGTGTAATGCAGCAATAAGACAATATACAACTAGTCTACTCACTAATACAGTAATAATACAGATAAAGAGTTTTCTAAGATTCTCTTGACTACCTGAGTTGTCACCATAACAGGGTGGAGGGGGCATTTTCCCATGATCTGGGGGATTCTGTTTGTCATGGATTCAGTGCTTAGTAGGGTTCCCATTTAAAACCATTTGGGCTAATGCGACTTCGCAATTGGAAAGATTTATGAATCTCAATAAAGGATGACCATATTTGTTGGCATTATGAGGACACTAAGAAAGCTACCAGGCCTGGGAGCCCATCAGTTAATCGCCCAGGTCAAACATTTGCTGCAGTCTTAAAAATTAACATTTTTAATGTCAACATTAAAAATGTTACACAGAGACCCTATACACTAACCTGAGAGCTTCCAGTTGAAGGTTCTGACTCTCCAGTTCAGACCACAGCAGCTTCACTCCTGAATCCAGTAGCTTGTTGTTACTGAGATCTAACTCTCGAAGACTTGACCAATGATCCCCTATAACTGGTGCCAATGCTTTACAGCTTCGCTCTGAGAGGTCACAATCACTCAATCTGAAAAGATAGACATCTTTAGTTGTTTTTCTTTCCTGTTGACAAGACAGTGTTTTTAGTACTCACATAGCTTTTTTGGAGGCTTTGACCACAGGCAGCAGCCTGAAAAGAGCATCCTCTGAAGCAGAGTATTTCTTCAAGTCAAATACATCCAGATCTTTCTCTGATGACAATAAGATGAAACCCAGAGCTGACCACTGAGCTGGAGACAGATTTTCTTTTAAGTGACTTCTTGAACTCAAAGACTGTTGGATCTCTTCCACCAGAGACTGGTCATTCAGTTCATTCAGACAGTGGAACAAGTTGATGCTTTTCTCTCCAGAGAGATTTTCACTGATCTTATTCCTGATGTACTGGACTGATTCCAGACTGGTTTTGTTTTCAGTCGGTGAAATCAGACCTTTTAGGAGAGTGTGATTGGTCTGCAGTGAAAGACCCAGAAGGAAGCGAAGTAACAAGTCCAGATGACCATTTGGACTCTCTACTGCTTTGTCCACAGCACTCTGATGTAAATTAGCCAGTGCTGATTCTTTATCTTCTGTCAAAGATTCCTCAAGCAGATTGACGCCAGAGTTGATGAAGGTCAGATGAACATGAAGAGCAGCCAGAAACTCCTGAACACTCAGATGGACGAAGCAGAACACCTTGTCCTGGTACAGCCCTCTCTCCTCTCTAAAGATCTGTGTGAACACTCCTGAGTACACTGAGGCTGCTCTGATATCGATGCCACACTCTGTCAGGTCTGATTCATAGAAGATCAGGTTTCCTTTCTGCAGCTGATCAAAAGCCAGTTTTCCCAGAGACTCAATCATCTTCCTGCTCTCTGGACTCCAGTGTGGATCTGTTTCAGATCCTCCATCATACTTGACCTTCTTCACTTTGGTCTGAACCACCAGGAAGTGGATGTACATCTCAGTCAGGGTCTTTGGGAGTATGGCTCTTTTGTTGGTTTCCAGCAAATCCTCCAGAACTGTAGCAGTCATCCAGCAGAAGACGGGGATGTGACACAGGGTATAGAGACTTTGTAATGTTTTAATGTGGGAGATGATCCTGCTGGCCTGTTCTTTATCTCTGAATCTCTTCCTGAAGTACTCCTCCTTCTGGGGGTCATTGAACCCTCTGACCTCTGTCACCATGCCAACACACTGAGGAGGGATCTGATTGGCTGCTGCAGGTCGTGTGGTTATCCAGAGGAGAGCAGAGGGAAGCAGTTTCCCCCTGATGAGGTTTGTCAGCAGAACATCCACTGAGCTGGACTCTGTAGCATCAGTCAGGATCTCCTTGTTGTTGAAGTCCAGAGGAAGTCGACTCTCATCCAGGCCATCAAAGATGAACAGAACCTGGAACTGTTCAAAGTTACTGATTCCTTTGGTTTCAGTAAAGAAGTGATGAATCAGTTCCACCAAGCTGAACTTTTTCTCTTTCAGCACATTCAGCTCTCTGAAGGTGAATGGAAATATGAACTGGATGTTCTGGTTGGTTTTGTCTTCAGCCCAGTCCAGAGTGAACTTCTGTGTTAAGACTGTTTTCCCAATGCCAGCCACTCCCTTTGTCATCACTGTTCTGATTGGTTGATCTCTTCCAGGTGGGACTTTAAAGATGTCTTCTTGTCTGATTGTTGTTTCTGGTCTGTGTGGTTTCCTGGATGCTGTTTCAATCTGTCTGACCTCATGTTCCTGGTTGACCTCTCCAGTTCCTCCCTCTGTGATGTAGAGCTCTGTGTAGATCTGGTTCAGGAGGGCTGGACTTCCTGCTTTAGCGATTCCCTCAAACACACACTGGAACTTCTTCTTCAGGGAGGATTTAAGTTGATGTTGAGGAGCTGAGGGACTAAGCTCTGCAATAACACAAAAATATGATAGATGCTGTCTGATATAACAGGAAAACACTGACACATTTTTATGAACAATTAATGCCATAAATATATCTAAAAGGTGTGTGGGCCTATTCTATTCCCATAGCCAGATGAGGGAATGTGGTCAATCAACATCTTCCACAGAATGCAGGTGTGTGCTCTGCATTCTGATCTAGTTTTCCATCCATCCTCCATTCTACATGCTTATCCCATTGGGGTATGGAGGGATGCTGCTGTGGCCAAGAGGTGGGGTCACCCTTGGCAGGTCGCCAGTCCATTGCAGGCCAACACAGAGACAGACAAGCATGCACACACTGAGACTTAAAGAGAATTTATACAGACCAGCTAAACTAACAGTTATGTTTCTGGACTGTGGAGAACCCAGAGAGAACCCACACATGCACAGAGTGAACATGCAAACTCCACGCAGAGAGACCCAGCTCCAGGATTCAAACCCAGTTGCAGCAAGACACAGTGGCTGCAAACAGCACCACTGTCCAGAGCTGTTCTTTTTATTTCAAACATTAATTAGAACAAAGCAAAAGTTAAATTAAACATGATGCAGATTCATTTGTTGGAGAAATCCTCTTACTGCTCTGCAGATGATCAGCCAGCTCCTCCTGCTTCATCTTCCTCAGGAAGTTCAGGGTGATCTTCACTAAAGCTTCTCTGCTGTTTCTCCTTTGATCTTCATCCTCACCCTCCAACATCTCCTCATTCTTCTTCTGACTCT